ATTAGGGTAGAAACCTCATTTTCTTCCAAAGATACTGCTGGTAAGCACTTAATATGATGATGAAGCCAGGGACTAGTTTGTATCTTTCTAGCAACAGCTCTAAATTAGACCTGATTTGGGGGCAGTAAAGGTACATGTACATAGTGTAATCTGCTGGAAAGAGAGAGGAGGGTCCATTCTCTATCTTTGTGCATCTTTCTCTAAGAACTTAATGAAACTCCGTAAAGATGGAGGCAATTTATTGTGTCCCAGAAATAAAGACACAAATAAATAAATAAACATGCCACAAGCCCTAAAACGTTTCCCATGCTCAGATTCCTACATGCTATGCCAAAGCAAATATTAACTTTGACCTCCTCATTCAGTTTCTGTGTGAGAATAGCAGTACATTAGGAGCTCTTCAAAGCACTGCTGATGTTCCAGTGTACTAATGGACCTTAATCCAACTCTGCAAAGCTTTGTATGCAGCACTGGAACAATGAAACTGTACCTTGATAACCAGAGAATAAAGGATCTGCCAAACTGTCACTTCTGTCTGAATAAAGGTTGTATCAGAAACTTTAGAGAAGCCAATGGTTGCTAGCCTATTTAGAAGCTATTTAAAATCTAATGATCAGATGTATAAATTCATACAGAAATACAATTGAATGCATGGGTTCAGAAAAGAAATTATCCTAAAGTCCAGACTCTATAATATGCTTTATAAAGCATATTCCTTTGAGAGTCTGCTGATGGAGTGAGTACTATGGGGCTGAACAGAAAAGAATGAGGAAAAGCTGTTTTCCCTCTCCTTGCTGATGCCTCTCATGGGAAGGCTCTTTGCTAGTCTGGTTTATTTAACAACCAGCTGGGAAGACCATTACAACCCAGAGTGCTGAGCAGGAGCAGAGGAGAGAACCTCTTTGGGGCTCCTCATGTCAGGAATCTGTACCTGATGCCAGTCATTGTGCCAGAAGGGCATCTCCAGGGCAGAGCTCCCTGATTCATAGGAGTAACTCCAGTAGATGCACTTCCCTTTTGATTTATAGTTGAAATACTTGGATATTACTCTGCAAGGATGTAAATTTGCACTGAGTTCTCACATTAAGACATTACATTAATGAAGTACTGGAGAGGGTGAATAGAAAGGCTGACTATGCCTACTATCACCTGGGGGAAATAATTTTGAAATTGATATTTATAGTGATTAAGCAATTGTCTGAGGTTTAAATCTTTCAAAGAAGCATGAACATAAACTTCAGATCTGCAGCTTGTCACACTGAAGAAAGTTCTGTGGCTGCAAGTGACATTGCTTTTATCTTAACAATGACCATAGCTAAAGTGAGACTGGGATTTTTTTAAGCTTGGATGTGCACATTCCTTATTTTCTTGTAAAAAGCCTAGATTTGCTATATATTTGAGCTGGCAGAGCTAAGCTAGTTGTCTGAGGCTGTTGTACACTAAAATTGTTTTTCATTCTTGACATTTGATTACACAGCAAGTTCCCCAGCCACCTGACCAGCTGGTGGGTGAAAGAAATGCCACGTTTAAGGTGCCTCTTTTTACCTGTCTTTTTACAATGTGAAGAAAACAAATTTTAGCTCCCCATCCCTGGGTCCCATCAATTATATTTGCACATCTACACTTAAAGAAAATAAAATGTCCCCGGTAAATGTCTTGTTTTCAAAATAAAGAGAGATTGCACAAGAAAAACTATTCCATTGCAGAGACTTCTCTGGTGCATGAGACACTGGGACTGGAGCACAAAATGGCATTTAGGAGCCACAAGAGCTCACCCTACTTAAGGCTCAGCTCAGAGTGACGTGCTCTGTCCTTTTTTATTCACGCTACTGAATTTCTCACTATGACCCATAAAAGAGCAATCAGCACCGATAGGGCAGAGGCACCCTGCATTCAGCTGGTACTTACCCCAGTTGCACGCTTAAGCCAGCGTCTGTAAAGGTGTGTCTCTCTTGCCACTCACAGGGTAGCTGCTGGGGCTTGGCTGCTGTGCTGCATCGTGAAGGCTATGCAGTCAAGAAGGACATTACGGGATCATGCCCTTATTTCAGCATTTTGGACACATCTCTGTGGGGAAGAGTAAAAGGCTGTATTTCACAGCTATGATATCATTCTTGTAAGCTATAATTCAGCATGAGCCACTATAAAACCTTTCCCATGACATCAGAGCTGTGATATATAGCTGACTTCAAGTGCAGAAAATTCCCCCACAGGAATAATTGTTTCCTGGCAATTGGTGTTTGAAGGACTGATCCTTTAAAAGGCTGGCACAAATCCCATCTAGGTAATGCTGCTCCAAGCAACACTTCTCAGGAAATGTTATGTGCAGGAGCGGAGATATGGAGCCCCCACCACAGGATCTGGCCATGGAGGTGGTGGGATGAGCACTACAGGAGCCTGCCAGGTGATGATTTTCACTCCCTTATGCCTCAAAATTCCATACAGACCTCACCAATAGCAAATTAGTAGGTTTGCTCATGTGCTGTACTCCCTACCTCAGACCCTGCATCTCCAGTCAAGGAAGACATGTATACAGCCAGAACCACTGTCTAATCCATCTTTCCACATCTATCCTCCAAACACAGATCATCCTTATGATACATCCATCTTGATACATGGCACTTCACCAGGTCTTCACTTCCAGGGACAGACCTGTCCATGGAACAGTACCTAACTCACCTGGGAAGGTCCCAACCTCCCCCCAAAGCAACATGGCAAGAAAATGGAAGTAAAAAATGTCATGTGAGACACAACTTCCTCTTCCATATCACATAATGGAAGATGTCCATTTGAATACAGTCCAATGAGAGCCAGAGTAACAATCGATGTTCGCAGAGCTGTGAATGACAGGACCCTACATGGGTCAGAAGGAGGAGAAAAGAGACTGTAGATACGGAGAGGGTTAAAGCCACCTCAGGTCTCCCTATCCTGGTGCCTAAATCTGCTGAATCTGCTGCCTGTATCCTGCTCTAGCAACCTGCACTAGTTTGCCACTGCTCCATCAGTTGCACTGAAAGCATTTGTTGAACACATTGTAAAGCTTAGTCATGCCAGCTTTTCCTGTTCCTCTTCTGGGAAGGTTTTCTTGTGAGCACAGCTCTGTTCTTGCTGTGCTCTCTGTGTGTATGGGTACATGTATGTGTGAATACAGCCGGGGTCTGTGTCTCTCTCACAAGCTCTCAAAGCTGTGTGTGGACACAGCTCCCATGACCTGCAGGACAGAGTTGTCTTTCCCTGGCTAATAAGAAAGCTAAATACAGCCCTTCCCTCTTCTCCAGAAGAAAGTACACTGTGTCAGAATTAATTGTTCTGTTTACATTCTTCCTCTTAATTCTAAAAATCTTATTCCTTCTCACACAGAAGTTACCTATTAACAGAGGCTTTTACCTTTTGAAACAGTAAAATAATATGAACAGTTTGAACAGTCCTGTTCCATTACCTACTGTTCATATAAAAGCTAAGTGGTATTTCTTTATAGAAAATGATTTACTAACAGGAACTCTAAGAGTCTTGAGGTTATTTCATACAATTTATTACCAAGAACAACGACAGCAAGAAGAGTTGCTAACCCAAGGCATTTGCAGGTACTGTAGCTGCTTTAGCATAGCTCAAAGGCTAAATTCTGCGTAATGTACACCTTTAAAAGGACAAACACATATTATAGGAGAAAAAATGGTCTTTGGTGTAGAATATGATCCAAGTAGTGTGTCATGAAACGCAATGAAGCAAACAAAAATTTTCTCTTCAATTTTGTATAGTCAGATTGTCATTCCACAGTCTTTATTTACAAATACTGAGAGGTGCTGTATTGAATTTTGAGCTGGTTCAGAATGATATATTGGGTTTTGATCAGAATACTGGAAAAAAAAATAAAACTTTTTTTCAAAGAGCATCATTGAGAAAGCAAATGAAAATTAATCAAATTATCCTTCTCTAGGGTTATAGATCTGTATGAACTAAAAAAATTAATGAGGTGTTTACAACAAAAATACATATTGTGGAATGTTTCTGTCAACTAATTCTGATTTCTTCACATTATAAAATGTTCCAAAGCTGTTCATGAGTCAGTTCATTTTTTATGACTGGTTACCTGAGACACATAGTATATTTCCTTCCTTTTGAATAGAAGCTTTCAGCTTTTTTTAAAAAAGGAAGAGCTGTCCACAGTACTCTGGGATACTGTATCTGTAGCTTTTGGCAAGTTGAAAATTATGCAGTATTAAAAGATAGAGATAATTTTGTAATTATTTTGTAGGTGCACCAATATTTAGTATTAATAATAGTAGGAAGCAGTAGCTAGTAAAAACCCAGAGGTAGCAATGAACTGGCTGTGGTTTGTTTTCTACTTTTAGAAGTTATTAGTGAAAGCATTTACATATATAACTATATGTTTAAAGATTCAAAACTCTGGCAGTAGATAATGAGAAAAACAAAGTGTCCACTTCATTTCCTATGCAGTAACAAATAGGTCTATTATGTGTGAGATATTGACAGATACACACATTTATTACACTAACCTGTTAAGTTGGGCCTTTCTAAATGGAGTCAATTGCAAAACTCCTTAAATGTGAGGGAAAAATCCTGGAGTTAAGTCCAGTCTCTTCAGTCCATAACTATAGCAACAGAATGCCTCCTAGGTAGACAGCGTGCAGTTTTGCTAGCACTTCTTTAATGTAATATGGTAACCTCATCAAGACCCCCAGTCAGAAAATAATCAGCTACATCCCAAAGTTCAGGCAATAAAAAGAGCTTGCCTTTATCGATGGAGGGAAGCAAATGGGGTTAAAGGGGACCCACACGCTCCCTAAAAAACATCATGACTCCTTCCCTATACTCAAAAAAGATTCACTCAGACCATTTGAAGGACTATTTGCAACATTTTGAATCAGAAACAGCCCAAGTTTTCAACAGTCATTATTACTCATCTACTTTGTTGACTTAGTTGCTGCAGTGATAAGTACCTTTGGAAATGCTAAAAATCTTGTTCTTTTTCTTTTCAGAGATCCTTTGAGACTGCAAAGACTATTTAAAGAAGGAAGACGGCATGTGATTGGATTTAGTGCTGTAAAGTAGGTTAATTTGAGGACAAGACAAAAAATCATTATTTAGACCATCTTGTGTTGCCGTGATGAGAACTTACCATTGCTTCTGGCTGTTGTTTTGGGCTGGTCAGCCCCACCAAAGTTTCTTAACTCCATTATCCAAAAGGACTAGTGGCTTTCCAGAAAAGGAGAAGGTTTTGGTGTTGTCTGGAAACAGCAGGCAAGATCTCCATCGTTCCAAAAGGAGCTGGATGTGGAATCAGTTCTTTTTGTTGGAGGAATACACAGGAACTGACTACCAATATGTTGGCAAGGTAAGTTTCTTTTGTATGCATCTGTGTTTTGATTTTAGAAGCACTGGAAAGCCAGCAGTAGCAAGTAGGGAAGAGCAGTGCCTGCTACAACTTCTAGTTCATGTTCTTGTGTGCCCAGCTTCTGCTGAGGAGTAATTCAGTGGAAAGGTTAGTGCGCTTCAGCTTCAGATTGTAATCAACAAGTCTTCTTTTAACCAGGAAGTCCCATGGCAAATCATGGGCAATTCTATTAAAGATTTTGCATTTTATTTTGTGGCTGGAAATAATGCAGCTTAATTATAGGCCAGATTTTTAGCTTTATACTGGGATATGTGTTTTCCCTCATGCTCACTAATTTTGCTGCAGTCAAACTATATAAACCAGGAGAGGTTTAGATCTAAGTTAGGATTCACAGTACCTACATTTTTGGTGACGATTCTCTCTACTCAACAAAAGGTAATTGTTTCCGTTTTTATTACCCACTACACACAACAATGCTGCACCCATTTTCTGATGAGGTTTCAGAGTGCCACTGTGTGACATGACCTTCACACCACCAGCCATGCTACTACAAAGCATGGTTGAAGCACACTGTGTATATATACTAAGAAGCAATAGGCAGCTGAATATTTCTAATCTCAAAGCATGCTGTCAGCTGGGAAAGGGTCCAAAAAAAAAAAAATTAAAAAGAAATGTCACAGCTTAACTCTGAGAAGGTCCACCTCCCTGAGCAGCTGACCCCCATGTAGGTAACAAACTTTATGCGAGCTGTAGAGCTAATGCACCTGTGTTAAGAGCCTAAAGAGAGTCTATCCTGCCCAAGGTGCCACAGTCTATAGGAATATGTCTTGCAAAATGCAGAAATTATGCTACTGATAATGACATTCAAAGCAGAAACAATACAACTTGGTTTTGCAAACTAAAATGGGGTTGTAGCTGATCTAGTTTGATCTCTCAAGCCTCTTAGCAAAGGCTGCAGATCACAGTGGTTTGACATCTTATCTCCCTTTGCAAGTCTCTAAGCATTCCCATGAGAGATGGTGGCTGCTTTTCTTGCCTGCCAGTCAGCTGTCAGTCAAAGCTGGATGCAACACTCCTTTCCTGCTAAATGTCTGCAAGGCATGATTCAAATGAAGAGCTACTCAGCTGGTGTAATACTCACAGAACTCCAGCCAGGATAATCAGCATTCATGAAAGGTACCATTGAGCCCAACCTACAGGAAAAGGCCAAAGGCAGAGAGTCCTCAGAGAGAAGTAGAGAAGGAAGATAAGAGGGTAAGAAAAGATACCAAAACAGAAGAGAGTAAGAGGAAAGATCTAGAAAGACAGAGATGGAAGGAATGGAAGCTTTACAAAGATGAATCAAGATGGAAAGGAGGGGGAAATGACATTAAATGGGGGTAGAAGATAAGAGTTGGGGGAAAGTTTACCTAAAGAGAGCAAAAACAAAAACAGAAAATGAGACAGTGAAGGAAAAAACCAACAGGTGTGAAACATGGAGTCAAGGGATGAAAAAAAGGCAACAAATTGAAAGGCAGCAGTCTTCCACACACTCTCCTGTTTTACAGTCTGCTGAGGTTGGTCAGGGTAGTGGGGATCTTTTTGTTCAAAGAGAAAGCATATGGTCCTGAGGTGATCCTACAGTCTCTCACTGTCATTGTGAATTTTGACATTAAACCTGATCAGCCCCTCATTCTTCCCACTGCAGAATTAAAGTACAAGCTATTGACTTCAGAGGGACCGATGGGTAAGTGAATATTTCTGCAGGATAAATTTTTTGAGAGACAGTTAAAAAATGGTCTTGTTTGACTAGAAAACCAAGACAGTTTCAACAGGAGTCAGAGAGAGAAAAAAATGTACATTATTTTTAAAAGTTTTTCTTCCACCTATTTGTACTTTATTACACTTTCTGTTGTAAAGCACAGAAACAACAGGCAATGTATAAATGTCATTGATTTTGTGTTCCTAAGCCATTCACAGGTGGCCTTTCACACATCTTTCAAATGCCAGGACTGCTCACACTCTTTTAACTGAACAATTAGCCAAGAGGCATGGAAGAGCAGCCTTTTATTATTAAAGTTGAAGATTGGTGTGAGGGGAAATGATAGAAACATCTAAATGTCTCCAAATGGAGGTAACTAGGCAATTTAACTGAGCAATTAAACTTGATTGATGTGGGCAAATGAGGATTATGAAGATTTTTATGAAGCATATTTTTTTTCTCAGAGGACTAAATGTTAACCTTAAATATGGTCTTAAAAATGGTAGGAATATAAGGAAAAAATGTGAACAGCAAAATCTTTTAAAACAATAGCAATATATGTATATAAAAGGGAATTGTGCTTATGCTTACTGTATAAACAGGCAGACATGAATCTTCTGGGGCTTTTGTGTTTAGTGGTTAAAGCTGGTGGGCATTAACATCATAACAATAAAAAAAGTTTTTATATAAGCTACAAAAAAAAAAAAATCTTTTACTCATGCTGGTTTCACTTTTGCCTCTTCATTTTTTTTAACATCTGTTTAGTCCAAACATCTACATCAAAATTTGAGATGTAAGAAGTCTGTTGTGAAAGATTCTGAAAAACAACATTATTTGTATGAGCTGCCCAAATTACAGTTGTAAAATCCTGTAACTGTTTAAACTACAAAAAACACACTTTCATCATAGTAGTTTTAGAGAGTAGGGAAAGAACAGAGAAAGGGAATTAATTCAGATTTAGGATAATAAAAAAGAAAGGTAGTCTCTCTGAAGACAAAGCTCAAGGCAGTACTGAAGACAATGCTGTAGCATCATCTGAGTCACAGACCAGAGCATTGTTGTTGTCTATAACCCTGTGCACTCTATTCATTGAACCCAGAGCTTTCCATCCTCTAGGAGTTAATTGTCCAAGCACATATGAAACCTTTTTTTGGTATCTGTGGGTGCTGTCAGCTATTAAAAAGTGTTCCCAAGTTCTGTATGCTGCAGACTTCATTGTCAGCCCAAACATGCAGCTGTATCTCACTGGGCAAGGATGTGCAGCTGCCAACAAGACGCTCTCAGTGTTATAAATACAAGTTGATGTTTGCTGTTGTGCTGACACCAGATCGATTGCTTTATTACCCCTCCTTGTATTCCTGGATTTCATTCCTGTATATTTGTGAAATGAAGTCTTTTTAAAAAGAGAAGAAATTCACGCCTCTAGTCACTCTAGTCTCAAACCTAATAATAAGGAACTTGAAGAAAAGTTCTAGAGCGGAATTATTCATTGCACTTCTGAATAACTTGTGAACTATAGCTATGCATTGAAGCGTGACTGATGGGCACAGTGACATTTTAACCTGAAGATATCTTTTCTTCTGGTTCAGAAATTATAGCACTTGGCAGGGACTCAATCCAAAAATAAAATAAAAGAATTACATGAGCATCAAAGTAGAGAAGTGTCTAGCACTATTACCTAGCCAAAATTTGCAACATCTGAGTTGGGTTTTAAAAGATACCTAGTTCTACATGCGGCTGCTTAGAACAGTTTGAAAGGTGAATTCAGCTTTAAATCACACGTAAACAATTAAGTGGTGTATAGTGGTATATGTATATTAAAATATACACTGGGTTTCCTAGAGATATTATTATATTCTAGGGGTAAAAAAAATAAAAAATGAAAAATTAAAAAAAATAAATCTGCCCTGTTCCAAGACTATGCTCACAAGTATAGTTACTATTTGTATGCACTTGACAGCTTTGACATGGCGGTCCCACTGGCTACATAAAATCCATGTACTGGCATCCATCACTGAGTTTAGAGCACAAACCTAGAATTGTTGTTACATAGAGGGATAGGATTCCACTTTCTTTAAGATTAAAGAAAGATCTAAACAAGTCTTAAATCTTACTCATTAACTCAGGGACAGCTCCGGCAGCCTGAAATGGAAAGGATCAACTTGCTTTCCTGGTAAAAACGGGCACAACTGTGGAATCGTTTTGCAATGCTCTGGCTGGCTGGTACTAAAAGGAAACTTCCAGACATACTTTTCATTTTTGCTGTGTCTTATTGATGTTCATATAGTTCAAGCAGTATGCTCGCCTGGAAGCTATCTGGTGTTACTACCTGTACAACCCATCATAAACAATCAGCCTCTGCTGACAACTCCATTTTTCAAGGAAGATAAAGTCAAGCTGCTGCTGGTATGTGGCTTGGCAAAGCAAAAAGGGTACTGTGTTACTGTAGGCAAACCCAGAATCTTTTTGTTTGGTGTTGAAAGAACCTCTTGGAAAGATGAATTCCCCTCTCTCAAGGAATGATTTAAGGTACTAACCCTGCTTTTGAGGAGGGGATGAACTAAATTTTATCACAGTATAGTTTCAGCAGTGTTTTTCTTTCTTTTGTCTGATTTTACTTCTGGCTACAGCTATTCTGAAGGCAAGCACAGCAGTGTATTTCAGCAGAAGCAAATGAAACAAAAGGCAGAATCTTTCCAAGCTATTGTAAGTGGAGGGACTAAGCAACATACTGAGGCAAAATTATCTGGCTGTGAGCACGCACAAGGGGCTATTTAAACAAAGGAAATTACTGTCATGCAATACAGTCCATGCTTTTTCAGCATTTTAGGAAGTAATGGGTAACATTACTCCAATGGTTAAAAGGTATCATATCTTAATTGGATAGCATGATAGCTAGCAAGAGAAATCTTCACTTTCTCTCAGATTCTAGTGTGCTAGTGTTCTGTGCTTACCTTTAAATTTTTGTTCCCCAAAAAAGCAAGGTTTGAAAAGTCAAACTAAAATTACTCCCCCATCTGACCTTTTAACCTCCTTTATGCAGCTTTATTGGCTTGCTTTATTGACACTTGCTCAGTATTTCTTTTCCTTGCCTTGTAACTTGCACCATGATACATGCTTGATGCCTTCAGTTTCCTGTTCCAAGCACAGTGACTATTTGTTGTTTTTGCGATGCCTAAAGTTAAGTTACCCTTATGACTTCTGTTTATTCATAGAGTATCTCAAAGTAATTTTTCATTCATTTTTGATTATTAGAATA